GGGACCTGACACACACACGAGAGGGACCTGACACACACGAGAGGGACCTGACACACACGAGAGGGACCTGACACACACGAGAGGGACCTGACACACACGAGAGGGACCTGACACACAGGGACCACACACACTGAGAGGGACCTGACACACACACGAGAGGGACCTGACACACACACGAGAGGGACCTGACACACACACGGGAGGGACCTGACACACACAAGAGGGACCTGACACACACAAGAGGGACCTGACACACCACGAAGAGGACCTGACACACACACGAGGGGACCTGACACACACACGAGAGGGACCTGACACACACACGAGAGGGACCTGACACACACACGAGAGGGACCTGACACACACTGACGGGAGGGACCTGACACACACACGAGAGGGACCTGACACACACACGGGAGGGACCTGACACACACACGGGAGGGACCTGACACACACACGGGAGGGACCTGACACACACACAGGAGGGACCTGACACACACACGGGAGGGACCTGACACACACACGGGAGGGACCTGACACACACACGGAGGGACCTGACACACACACGGACCTGACACACACACGGGAGGGACCTGACACACACACGGGAGGGACCTGACACACACACGGAGGGACCTGACACACACACGGGAGGGACCTGACACACACAGAGAGGGGACCTGACACACACACGAGAGGGACCTGACACACACACGAGAGGGACCTGACACACATTAGAGGGACCTGACACACACGAGAGGGACCTGACACACACGAGAGGGACCTGACACACACACGGGAGGGACCTGACACACACACGGGAGGGACCTGACACACACACGAGAGGGACCTGACACACACACGAGAGAGGGACTGACACACACACGAGAGGACCTGACACACACACACTGACACACAGGAGGGACCTGACACACACACGGAGGACCTGACACACACACGAGAGGGACCTGACACACATTAGAGGGACCTGACACACACGGGGAGGAGGGACCTGACACACACGAAGAGGAGGGACCTGACACACACGAGAGGGACCTGACACACACGAGAGGGACCTGACACACACGAGAGGGACCTGACACACATTAGAGGGACCTGACACACATTAGAGGGACCTGACACACACGGGGAGGAGGGACCTGACACACACGGGGAGGAGGGACCTGACACACAGGAGGGCGTGTGACTCGGTGTGTGTTTCAGGACTGGAGGGAGAAATACGTCCACGAGAACTACTCCAAGATCTTCGAGGACGAGAAGAACTTTGTGGAACAGGTTTGAACCTTTAGTCCTGGTTTAGACCTGGTTTAGACCTGGTTTAGACCTGGTTTAGTCCTGGTTTAGTCCTGGTTTAGACCTGGTTTTGGTTTAAGACCTGGTTTAGACCTGGTTTTAGTCCTGGTTTAGTCCTGGTTTAGTCTGGTTAGTCTGGTGGTTTAGACCTGGTTTAGACCTGGTTTAGTCCTGGTTTAGTCCTGGTTTAGACCTGGTTTAGTCCTGGTTAAGTCCTGGTTTAGACCTGGTTTAGACCTGGTTTAGTCCTGGTTTAGTCCTGGTTTAGTCCTGGTTCTGATCTGGTTCTTCTCTGGTTCTCAGCCGTGTCCAGACGTGTTCTGGTTTCCTGCGTTCTCTGACAAAATGTGTGACGACCTGGTGGACACGATGGAGGAACACGGACAGTGGTCAGGAGGCTCACACAAGGTACAAGTACAAGTACAAGTACTGTAGTACTGTAGTACTGTAGTCCCACACTCTGGTTCTGTGAGTACTGCAGATGTATTGTTTTCGTGCTCTCTTTAAAATAATATTTAGAATAAAACTGAAAAACACAAACGTGAGATTCAGTTTTATTCATTTATTTATTTTTACTTCAAACCACAAAAGTCATTTACATAAAGTATAAACTCACACAAAGACACGACACGAGGAGTTTGAGTGTTCTCCCTGTGACAGAGGAGGAGGAGTGTGGGGAGTGTGGAGTGTGAGGAGTGTGAGGAGTGTGGGAAGTGTGAGGAGTGTGGCGAGTGTGGGGAGTGTGAGGAGTGTGAGGAGTGTGGGGAGTGTGAGGAGTGTGAGGAGTGTGGCGAGTGTGGAGGAGTGTGAGGAGTGTGGGGAGTGTGAGTGTGGGGAGTGTGAGGAGTGTGAGGAGTGTGTGTGGGAGTGTGGGAGTGTGAGGAGTGTGGCGAGTGTGAGGAGTGTGGGGAGTGTGGGGAGGAGTGTGGGGAGTGTGGGGAGTGTGAGGAGTGTGGGGAGTGTGAGGAGTGTGGGGAGTGTGGGGAGTGTGGGGAGTGTGAGGAGTGTGGGGAGTGTGAGGAGTGTGGGGAGGAGTGTGGGGAGTGTGGGGAGTGTGAGGAGTGTGGGGAGTGGGGAGTGTGGGGAGTGTGGGGAGTGTGGGGAGTGTGGGGAGTGTGGGAGTGGAGGAGAGTGTGAGGAGTGTGGCGAGTGTGGGGAGTGTGGAGGAGTGTGGGGAGTGTGAGGAGTGTGGGGAGTGTGGGGAGTGTGATGTTTATGTGGTGTTGAAGATGTTTGATGTGGACTGTTTCAGAGGTTCGTACTCAGGTCACTCAGGTCACGTTAATATTGAAGAGTTTGTTTGTTGTGATGTTAAATGTGAGTTTGTTTGTTTCCTGGATCCTGTTTGTGGTTTGTTGTTATTAAAATGCTGCTGGTGCTTCAGGCTCATCGTGTCGTCCTCCTGGTCCAGATCCTGGTCCTGGTCCTGGTCCTGGTCCTGGTCCAGATCCAGGTCCTGGTCCTGGTCCTGGTCCTGGTCCTGGTCCTGGTCCTGTCTCAGGACTTTGATCGACGTCTCTTTGGATTTGTGTTGTGGATTTGGATGTGGGAGTGGACTGAGACTCACTTTGTCTTCTTCCTCTGTCTCTCTGTCTCTCTGTCTCTCTGTCTCTCGGTCTTGGTCTCGGTCTTGGTCTTGGTCTCGGTCTCGGTCTCGGTCTTCGTCAGGACGAGCGTCTGGCCGGAGGATACGAGAACGTCCCGACCGTCGACATCCACATGAACCAGATCGACTTCGAGAAAGAATGGCTCAAATTCCTCAAAGAATATATCACCCCAGTGACGGAGAAACTCTACCCCGGATACTACCCCAAGGTCTGGACTAAACCAGGACTAAACCAGGACTAAACCAGGACTAAACCAGGACTAAACCAGGACTAAACCTGGACTAAACCTGGACTAAACCTGGACTAAACCAGGACTAAACCAGGACTAAACCAGGACTAAACCTGGACTGAACCAGGACTGAACCAGGACTGAACCAGGACTAAACCAGGTCTAAACCAGGTCTAAACCAGGTCTAAACCAGGACTAAACCAGGACTAAACCTGGACTAAACCTGGACTAAACCTGGACTAAACAGGTCTAAACCAGGTCTAAACCAGGTCTAAACCAGGACTAAACCTGGACTAAACCTGGACTAAACCAGGACTAAACCAGGTCTAAACCAGGTCTAAACCAGGACTAAACCAGGTCTAAACCAGGACTAAACCTGGACTAAACCTGGACTAAACCTGGACTAACCTGGACTAAACCAGGACTAAACCTGGACTAAACCTGGACTAAACCTGGACTAAACCAGGACTAAACCAGGACTAAACCAGGACTAAACCAGGACTAAACCCGGATACTACCCTAAGGTCTGGACTGGGACTAAATCAGGACCAGGACTAAGATCAAGACCGGGATCAGGACTAACCCCGGATATTACACATAGGACCGGGACTAAGACCAGGACCAGACCCCAATCTCTGGTCCCACTCTGGTCCTGGTTGTGATCCCGGTTCTGATTCTGGTTGTGATCCCGGTTCTGGTTCTGGTTGTGATCCTGGTCTGGTTCTGGTTCTGGTTGTGATCCCGGTTCTGGTTCTGGTTGTGATCCTGGTCTGGTTCTGGTTGTGATCCTGGTCTGGTTCTGGTTCTGGTTTCAGGCTCACGCTGTGATGAACTTCGTGGTTCGTTATCGTCCGGACGAGCAGCCGTCTCTGCGACCGCATCACGACTCGTCCACGTTCACCATCAACATCGCCCTGAACCGCAAAGGACACGACTACGAGGTGAGAACACAGAGAGAACACGCAAAAACACAGAGAGAACACGCAAAAACACACAGAGAACACGCAAAAACACACAGAGAACACGCAAAAACACACAGAGAACACGCAAAAACACACAGAGAACACGCAAAAACACACAGAGAACACGCAAAAAACACAGAGAGAACACGCAAAAACACACAGAGAACACGAAAAAACACACAGAGAACACGCAAAAACACACAGAGAACACGCAAAAACACACAGAGAACACGCAAAAAACACACAGAGAACACGCAAAAACACAGAGAGAACACGCAAAAACAACACAGAGAACACGCAAAAACACAGAGAACAGAAACACGCAAAAACACAGAGAGAACACGCAAAACACAGAGAGAACACGCAAAAACACACAGAGAACACGCAAAAAACACCACAGAACACGCAAAAACACACAGAGAACACGCAAAAACACACAGAGAACACGCAAAAACACACAGAGAACACGCAAAAACACAGAGAGAACACGCAAAAACACACAGAGAACACGAACAAAAAAAACACAGAGAACACGCAAAAACACAGAGAACACGCAAAAACACACAGAGAACACACGCAAAACACAGAGAGAACACGCAAAAACACAGAGAACACGCAAAAAAACAGAGAACACGCAAAAACACAGAACACGCAAAAAACAGAGAGAACACGCACAGAAAACACAGAGAACACGCAAAAACACAGAGAGAACACGCAAAACAGAGAGAAACGCAAAACACAGAGAAGAACACGCAAAAAACACAGAAACAGCAAAAAACACAGAGAGAACACGCAAAAAACACAGAACACGCAAAAACACGCAAAAAACACAGAGAGAACACGCAAAAAAACACAGAGAGAACACGAAAAAACACACAGCACAACACGCAAAACACACAGAGAACACGCAAAAACAACACAGAGAACACGAACAAAAACACACAGAGAAACACGCAAAAACACACAGAGAAACGCAAAAAACACACAGAGAACACGCAAAAACACACAGAGAAACACGCAAAAACACACACGCAAAAACACAGAGAGAACACGCAAAAACACACAGAGAACACGCAAAAACACACAGAGAACACGCAAAAAACACAGAGAGAACACGAACAAAAAACAGAGAGAACACGCAAAAACACACAGAGAGAACACGCAAAAACACACAGAGAACACGCAAAAACACACAAAAACACACAGAAAAAAACACGCAAAAAAAACACAGAGAACACGCAAAACACACAGAGAACACGCAAAAACACACAGAGAACACGCAAAAACACACAGAGAACACGCAAAAACACACAGAGAACACGCAAAACACACAGAGACACGCAAAAACAACACAGAGACAGAAAACACAGAGAACACAGCAAAACACACAGAGAACACCCAAAAACACACAGAGAACACGCAAAAAAACAGAGAACACGCAAAAAAAAACAGAGAACACGCAAAAACACAGAGAGAACATGCAAAAACACAGAGAACACGCAAAAACACAGAGAGAACATGCAAAAACAGAGAGAACACGCAAAAACACAGAGAACACGCAAAAACACACAGAGAGAACACGCAAACACAGAGAGAACACGCAAAAACACCAGAAGAACACGCAAAAACACAGAGAGAACACGCAAAAAACACACACAGAGAGAACACGCAAAAACACACAGAGAAACGCAAAAACACACAGAGAACACGCAAAAAACACAGAGAACGAAAAACACAGAGAACACGCAAAAAACAAGAGAGACACGCAAAAACAACAGAGAACACGCAAAAACACACAGAGAACACGCAAAACACACAGAGAACACCGAAAAAACACACAGAGAACACGCAAAAACACAGAGAGAACACGCAAAACACAGAGAGAACAGAACACGCAAAACACACAGAGAAACGCAAAAACACACAGAGAACACGCAAAAAACACACAGAGAACACGCAAAAAAACAGAGAACACGCAAAAACACAGAGAGAACATGCAAAAACACAGAGAACACGCAAAACACAGAGAGAACCTGCAAAAACAGAGAGACGAACACGACACACAAGAACACGCAAAAACACACAGAGACACGCAAAAACACACACAGCAAAACACACGAGAACACGCAAAAACACACAGAGAACACGCAAAAACACACAGAGAACAACGCAAAAACACACAGAGAACACGCAAAAACACAGAGAGAACATGAACACAGAGAGAACACGCAAAACACAGAGAGAACACGCAAAAACACACACGCAAACACGAGAGAACACGCAAAACACACACACGCAAAACACACAGAGAACACGCAAAAACACACAGAGAACACGCACACAGAGAGAACACGCAAAAAAACACAGAGAGCAACACAAAAACACACAGAGAACACGCAAAAACACACAGACGAACACCACCACAGAACACGAACACGCAAAAACACAGAGAGAACACGCAAAACACAGAGAACACACAAAAACACACAGAGAACACGCAAAAACACACAGAGAACACGCAAAACCACAGAGAAACGAACGAGAACATGCAAAAACACAGAGAAACGCAAAAACACAGAGAGAACCTGCAAAAAACACGAACAAAGAAACAGAGAAACAGAAGAACACGAAACACGAAAAACACAGAGACACGCAGAAAACACACAGAGAACACGCAAAAACACACAGAGAACAACGCAAAAAACACACAGAGAACACGCAAAAACACACAGAGAACACGCAAAAACACACAGAGAACACGCAAAAAACACAGAGAGAACACGCAAAAACACAGAGAGAACACGCAAAAACACACAGAGAACACGCAAAAACACACAGAGAACACGCAAAAACACACAGAGAACACGCAAAAAACACACAGAGAACACGCAAAAACACAGAGAGAACACGCAAAAAACACAGAGAGAACACGCAACAACACACAGAGAACACGCAAAACACACAGAGAACACGCAAAAACACACAGAGAACACGCAAAAAACACAGAGAACACGCAAAAACACACAGAGAACACGCAAAAACACAGAGAGAACACGCAAAAACACAGAGAGAACACGCAAAAAACACAGAGAACACGCAAAAAACACAGAGAACACGCAAAAACACAGAGAAACACGCAAAAACACACAGAGAACACGCAAAAAACACAGAGAACACGCAAAAAACAAAAAACAGAGAACACGCAAAAACACAGAGAGAACACGCAAAAACACAGAGAAACACGCAAAAACACAGAGAGAACATGCAAAAACAGAGAGAACACGCAAAACACAGAGAGAACAACAAGAAACAGCAAAAACACAGAACACGCAAAAACACAGAACACGCCAAAAAACACAGAAGAAAACACAGAACACGCAAAAACACAGAGAACACGCAAAAACACAGAGAGAACACGCAAAAACAGAGAGAACACGCAAAAACACAGAGAGAACACGCAAAGAACACAGAGAACACGCAAAAACACAGAACACGCAAAAACAGAGAGAACACGCAAAAACAGAGAGAACACGCAAAAACACAGAGAACACGCAAAAACACAGAGAGAACACGCAAAAACACAGAGAGAAACACGCAAAGAACACAGAGAGAACACGCAAAGAACACAGAGAGAACACGCAAAAACACAGAGAGAACATGCAAAAAACACACAGAGAACATGCAAAGAACACAGAGAGAACACGCAAAACACAGAGAGAACATGCAAAGAACACAGAGAGAACACGCAAAAACACGCAACACAGAGAAACGCAAAAACACAGAGAGAACACGCAAAAACACCAGAACACGCAAAAAACACAGAAACACGCAAAGAACACAGAGAGAACATGAACAAAAACACACAGAGAACATGCAAAGAACACAGAGAGAACACGCAAAAACACCAGAGAACATGCAAAGCACAGAGAGAACACGCAAAAACACAGAAGAACATGCAAAGAACAAGCAAAGAACACAGAGAGAACACGCAAAAACACAGAGAGAACATGCAAAAACACACAGAGAACATGCAAAGAACACAGAGAGAACACGCAAAAAACACACAGAGAACACGCAAAAACACACAGAGAACATGCAAAGAACACAGAGAGAACACGCAAAAACACAGAGAACATGCAAAGAACACAGAGAGAACACGCAAAAACACAGAACACGCAAAAACACAGAGAACACGCAAAGAACACAGAGAACACGCAAAGAACACAGAGAGAACACGCAAAGAACACAGCAAGAACACGAGACACACAAGAACACAGAGAGAACACGCAAAAACCCACAAGTATAGTGTAGTGCGTGTGTATTGACGCTGTATGTGTGTATTGACCCTGTGTGTGTGTGTGTGTGTGTATTGACCCTGTGTGTGTGTGTATTGACCCTGTGTGTATTGACCCTGTGTGTGTGTGTATTGACCCTGTGTGTGTATTGACCCTGTGTGTGTGTGTATTGACCCTGTGTGTATTGACCCTGTGTGTCTGTGTATTGACCCTGTGTGTGTATGGACCTGTGTGTATGTGTGTGTATTGACCCTGTGTGTGTATGGACCTGTGTGTATGTGTGTGTATTGACCCTGTGTGTGTATGGACCTGTGTGTATGTGTGTGTATTGACCCTGTGTGTGTATGGACCTGTGTGTATGTGTGTGTATTGACCCTGTGTGTGTATGGACCTGTGTGTTCAGGGCGGCGGCTGCAGGTTCTTGAGGTACGACTGTAAAGTTGAGGCTCCGAGGAAAGGCTGGTCCTTCATGCACCCGGGACGACTGACGCACTATCACGAGGGTCTCCCCGTCACCCGAGGGACCCGCTACATCATGGTCTCCTTCGTCGACCCGTAGACCCCGGGGACACCGGGACACCGGAGACCAGAGACCAGAGACCCCGGAGAGACCCCAGAGACCAAAGACCAAAGACCAGAGACCAGGACCAGGACCAGGACCAGGTCAGAGCCTCAGTCTAACAGAAGTGTCCTGGCGGCGGCGGCGGTCGTGGTCGTCGTCCTCGTTCTTCTCGTATTCGCCGCTGTATCGCAGTAAAACCAAAGAGCCAATCAGGAGCCAGACCCGCCCACTCCACGCTTTAACAACGCTGTCAATCAAACCTGTTGCCGAGGCGAGCGGGACTCAAACCGAGAACCTTCAGATTCGCCCTCGAACAAGCTCGCTTCTGATTGGCTCTTTGGTCGCTGTGATACTCACAGACACACTCCAAACTCCAGACCGGGTCTAAACCGGGACCAGACCGGGTCTAAACCGGGACCAGACCGGGTCTAAACCGGGACCAGACCGGGTCTAAACCGGGACCATCCCTCCAACCAAAACGTGGACTTGGACCTGACCAACGACAGGACTCTTCACTCCCCTCTGGCTCTGATTGCTCCGGTGTCCTGCGCTCTGATTGGTCCGGTGTCCTGCGCTCTGATTGGTCCGGTGTCCTGCGCTCTGATTGGTCCGGTGTCCTGCGCTCTGATTGGTCCGGTGTCCTGCGCTCTGATTGGTCGTCTGGTTTTTTTAAAGACACAAACTCTTTTCTGATGAAACTGTAGAAACTGAAGGTGATTTTTTTTCCTGAAGACGCTGATTTTAGATTTTCGTTTCATTCCGGCTCCTCCTGACTCTGGCTCCTCCACTGGGATCTTGTGGCTCCTCCTCCTCTGGACCTGAGCTGTGACCTGAGCTGTGACCTGAGCTGTGACCTGAGCTGTGACCTGAGCCCCGGGCCTCAGTTTGGTCTGAGATGTTCTTCTGGTTTTACAGGATCCTGTTTTAATTTTTATTTTGTTTGTTTTGTCGTCAGTCGCTCCTGATTGGTCGTGGCTCCTGATTGGTCGTGGCTCCTGATTGGTCGCTGTAGCTGCTGCCCTCAATGAGCT